AAAAAAATTTTTTCAACCCTTCGGGCCTCAGTTTGGTCTAAGGAGGGGTCGGGCCCCTGGTCTACTCCCCTGGATCCGCCACTGGATAAAGCAGTTTTCTCCTTGTTTCTTCACTAATTTCTACTTTTCCAAGACAACCATGAAATAAAACCGCTGATAACATACAACAGTACAGTTTTCACCAGCTCATCCGCACTCTCCCTACCATAAAACGACTGCCCCGCTAAAACTGCTAACACGACAAAAGAGCAACCACCACAAAACGTACCAAAACATATGAAGATGTGTTTTATGCACCGTCCACTGCATTGCAAATCTTCTAATTTAAAAATCTGGTAGAGTATAAAGGTTAACGCGAGGACGAAAATACAGGCCATCAAACAAACGGCTAGTCCCCATACTGGATTAATCATAATTCCGATCACCAGCCAACAAAAATGGTAAACAGTAAGGGTTACAGAAAATCTTATGACAGCTTTTATACACGCGTTACATGAGTTACATTCACAACATGGGCATTTTTCGAGGCACGTTAATACTATACCTTCTAAAATTAGCGGACCGAGCGTTATATAAATGTCCTTCGGAGCATTTCCTGATATGGAAAATCTAAACACAAATACTAATATCACAATCTCAATGCAAAATAATATATGGAATAAACAGACAACAGAGCTTATGATGCCGTTTTCTCCTGAGTCTGGAGACGCGCCTGATTGCGGAGTTTCTGAAGGGGAGTTTAATGTACTTAGTTCGGTCTCCGCGGTTGAAGCCTGGGAACGTCGTACACGAACACATTTACACCAGCAATAGAGAGACTCATTATTTTCTCCTTTTAACACACCTATAATAACCTCGGCTATAAAAGGACCAGCCCAGAATGAAAATAAAAAAGCACACCATAAAATTGCTGTTATGTAGGAACTTCGCCGGGGTCCGGTAGCCATTATGTCTGTTTCATGTCCCTCTATAACGCACTCTACTGTGTTTAGTCTTGGATCCCTTATTTCTGGACGCACGGCCAGATCTTGAAGCTAAGGTGAAGGAACAAGTTTAAATTAGTTGAATAATAGCATTAAGGTCGTATTCCAGGCTATTCCTGTAATGTTTTATCGGAACATTCGTATCAGTAATATAATAAAACCGGAACTGGTTGAACAAGCTCTTTTTAGCACCTGTACGGCTCTGATGAATTTGTATTGATGCACGTTTGCCAGTTTTAAATGCAAAACTTTTAACCAAAAAACATTAAACAACCAATATAACATCGGTGAACAATTCATGCTGGCACTGGAAGAAATAACCAAAAATGATCTTTGCAAGTTACATATTTGTAGTAAAGGGGCTATACGACTTTTTCTTTTTGTTAAATTGAAAAAGATCTGTACAGCCCCCGAAATGATCCCGACCCCGAAATGATCCCCAACCCTGAAATGATCCCCAAATCGACCCCGAAATGATCCCCATTTCTCTTCACGTTAACCCCGAAATGATCCCCATTTAATTTTAGGAATGGAATGATATCCTAGAACTATGGATCGTGCAAAATGCACAACATTATAACTTAAGCTTCACTAATAATCTTTACTTGCCCACATGACATTAATTTGGGATCACACTTTGAACTGGATTAAACGCCGGAAAATATTATTATCAAAAAATACACAAAGTCTAGTATATTTTTAGGAACACCATGAACGGCAACTGATAATATCAAGAAACATAACATTTTTTTAAATTATTACTTAGGTGATTATAGCCCGGGTTATAGAGAAAACTGCATAGATGTTAAATTCTAAAAATGATGTTAAAACTGCGTGCCTTGGATATTGAATTTTAAAAATGGTGTTTTAACACTTTTTAAAATCTTAAAATGATGTTGAAGATGCAAAAGTATACATAAAAGCGATTAGATGACAAAGGCGCTAAAAAAATCACATAAATTCTAGCGTTTAATTAAGGTAAAAAAAAAAACACTGCAAATACTGTGTACGATCAATCTTGCTCAACGTCGGATCCAAAAAGATCGTGATCAGTCAAAATAGATCAAATTGAAAACGTTACAGTCAAGAAGACTTTTGCAGGGACTGATCAAACAATGTGAAATAGAGTTAAGTTGCGATATTTCGACTGGCCAATACCAGTCTTCATCAGGTTTATTGCGATATCACGAATTTACAGAAATATATATGAAGTAAAATAATGACCGGAAATTACATAATATGACGTGGTTAGTTATCTAGTGTTTTTTGGGATGAGAGACGATTGGGGATTAGGTTGAGGCGCGCGCGGGGTCTCATGTGAAGGGAAGAAGGAAAAATACTGTTCTTGACTGTAACGTTTTCAATTTGAAGCGAAATGTTAAACGCGATTTAAGAACGTAAACGCTGCAACAGATTTGTAATAATTTCGTGACGCAATACAAGTTCCATCCCAAGAATTAATTGGGGATCATTTCGGGGTCGATTTGGGGATCATTTCAGGGTTGGGGATCATTTCGGGGTCGGGATCATTTCAGGGTTGGGGATCATTTCGGGTTCGGGATCATTCCGGGGACTAGAAGGCACAAGTGTAATAATTGGACCCAAGTGTAAAAAGGTCCAAATGTTATTACAGATTGGACCTTTATTACACTTGGGTCCAATCAGTCCAATTATTACACTTGTGCCTTCTACAGCTGTAAGGGCTGTACGGATCTCGAAAGTTTTACTGCCACTTCTGCAGTACGCTACAAATCGCAAACCTCGCCTTTGCAGAAATGTTGAAAGGAACTGAAGTTAAAAACATTGTGACAGCTACTGGTGGCGTAAGTTATTATATCCCTGGCGAAGATTTGTTCGTGTACAGACAGGACGGAAATATCAGTGGTCATCAATGCAGATGTCTGATAGAAAATCCATTTAGCCGGAAAACGTTTTTTTACAAATTTGTTGGTATATGACAAAATATCAAACACTAAATGTGAAATTACGTACCGCAGCGAGAACATCCCTCATCAGGTCGTTTTGTTCCTTGGTCGATGAAAAATTTTTACAGAAATAGGGGATGCAGATTTTCAGCTCTTGTGTGCGTGGTTCAACAAGAACTGAGCCAAGCGACAGGAGTTGGAGGACTTGAGGAGGAATAGCAACATATAAACAGTTTAAACTCCAAGTGTAAATTGCCACTGATGTTTCATTGTGTGTAATGAACTCTACTTTAACTACAAGTGATGACGGCATCATTGCTGGATAAAGAGCAGATTCAATGTTGAAACTGTTCTCCTCTGATGCTAGAGATTTATAAATGTCAGCATAGCTGTCAATACAAGACGTAAACTTGGGGCAATGCCTCGTCGCAGTTCCTTTGGTGTGTCGAGCAAAACCAATGACCACAGCTTGAAGGAAAAGAAGGCGGATTGACCGCATGGTAAGCTCTGACCAATGGGCTACAGTTACCCCTATAAAGAAACGACAATTGAATGGCTTTAGATGACTGTAGTACGTTTAATTGTATTCAGTGAAGAAAAATTGAGGACGAAAGCTGTTTTGTTTGTTGGTTTGGTTGTTTTGTTGAAATACGGGAATTTGCCTCCTTTTTGTATGGAAAAAATTCAGTGATACATAAACTGTACCAGCAAGGGCTTTGATGTCGGGGAGCGAGAGTGAGAGAGTGAAGATGCAAAGACAATGGAAACTCCGGCAAGAAATCCTGCTCACACCTAGCAAGAAGCACCCTACCAGGGGGACGAGGCAGAAGTTTTATACGGGGAGGTTTCGCCCCGAGGTTCAACCCATAGGCCTGCGTAGCCTACGAAGCAGGCGCTAGGAAATAAATGGGCGCAAGAAAAAACGCGCGCGTCAGAAGAAGACACGCGTGCCCGTTCTTTCTTGCGCCCATTTACTTCCTAGCGCCTGCTACGCAGGCCTGCGTAGCAATCGTTTCCGTGCGGTTTAGGAGCAAAGAACAGTCAAAAATAGCAGAAAAATGGCTCTCTTTTCATTTCTCGCGCGGCCAAAACCGAGAATCCCGTTCCTCGGTCTTCCATACTTGCGCCATTTTTTGCGCTGTCTTTGACTCGCGTTCCTCGTTCTTTGCTCCTAAACCGCATGGAAACGCTTTCTACGCAGGCTAGAAGAATCTCCAAACTAGAAAATCAGTTCCTATGTGCTCAGAATGAATTTTCTCCTTAGTCCTTTTAACTTGAGTATCAGGCCTGCCTTAGGGGTGACAAGAGAGGAAATTTTAGATGACGGAGAGGGGGAGGGGTATAGAGACTCGATAGAGACAGAATCCGAAACAGAAAGGCAGTTTCTTTCGTTTCGCTCTCTTCCTTATCGCTTCTCTCCTCGCCACTTCCCACAGAAACACTTAATGCTGAGGCTACAGTCCCTTCCTCCAGCTAAAAAGGCTATCACAGAGAGTCGTTACATTTGTCATGGAAAGTCAAGTGCCCCCCGGGGTCAAGTGAGACGATTGCAGCGAGATCGCCTGCCGACATGAGCCGACCCACATCAGGGTGAGTTTAAAAATAGACATTCCCGTAAATTTTAGCTTATTTGATCAGCTTTAGGTAGTGTTTAGAATGATGTGGGAATGCGTAACTAGTAATGTTTGATCAATTTAAAATTCTATGACCATAAAGAAGCTTCTTTTCGTCATAGCTAACAAATTCAGGAAGAATCACAAAACCGGAAGTAGAGTTTTCACTTCTTCTATCAAATTTCAACGCCTATGTGTGAGAGGAATGTTTTTCTAGCAAGCATTATCCACAGTTGCGAGCGTGTACCTACATTATGTGGTTATAGAAAGCTTCACTAGACCATACTTACAGAAAATCGAAGTTTCACTGAAATTCCACCCGCTCAAGCAGAGGATCGTGATTCGCGTGACTGTTTTGTTTTAAAAATTTGCGTACCTAATGACGTATTTGGTTCCTATCCAAATACGGTGATCACACAATCAAGCTGTTTTGCGGTCGGTCTGTCTGAGTGTGCTCGTTCGGTTCATAATGTAGATCGAGGAGGAAGTATTTCCTAAATTTAAGAAAGGTAAGCTGAACTGTAGAACGTAACCTATAAAACATCTTTTACTATAGATTCCCTGTTTGAGGGTGGACCTAGTTAAAACACGTAGATATATTTTTTAGCAACTTCTATAATTTGCAGTCTGTCTACTTTGAATTGAATACTTGTCACGCCGTGGTAAATTTGCTGTTTTGGCAGAGCGTGATGTTCACGATCACCTCAAATTCAGATCAGACCGTTTTTGGTATTGTTAGGTTCAAGTCTCTGTGTTGGTAGTCTTTTATTTGTGAAAGTGCTGAAGTGAATTTATTATGTCCCACGTCCCTTTTCCGATAATGACAGCTTGGAGTTGCCTCTGTTCCCGAGGATGACCATTTTCTTTTTCCACTTGGTCTTGGAAAGTTCTCGACAGTGACATATATTCCATAATATTATCTCGCATCTTGTAGAGCTTATTAATCTTTCCAAACTGCTGTAACGCAGCAAGAATAATTTAGGGGCCCACAATATATGAATTTCAGTGCTTTATCCATAGCTTAATAATAAATTATTCAAAGGATATCTTCAGGAGCCTGTGAGCAATTAGCAAAAAGGAGCATATCATTCAATTTATTCAGTTTCTTGGTTGATTAAGAAGGGTTTGTGTATTGTATCTTGTGCAATGTCAAGTTTAAATTAAGAATAAACTAACGATGCCAGCACAGTAACCCTGAGTAAGGATTCTGACATCAATTTTGACATTTGAAAGAGTGATATGGAATCTCTGGATGGCCTAGACATATCAATGAAATAGATATTCCACCAATTATAAACTCTAATGATATTGTCGCTTAAAACTTCAATTAGTTTTGTTGAGCTTGTTATAGTTGTGAGAAACGCCTCCCTCTCTTTTGAATGCCTCCTATCTTTTAAATGCCCCCTCATGGACCCCTAAAATTAAATAAATGCCCCCGGCATCTACATTAGATCATATTTACAGTACCTTAAGCCCATAACCCATCTTAAACCCATCTCACAATGTACATAGTATCATACCAACAATATAATTTCTTAAAACTTCACTGTTGATTTTTTTATTGCTTTTTCAGTATCACTGTGAGTGTCTGAATCAGCTTTCGAATGCTAATACCCTAAGGGATGCTACCTCACATTTTTGTTCGTTAAAACAGTTTTGGTGTTTTTAAAAATTGATCTGTAACTTTTCATTGTAATCAAAAATTGGCAAAACCCTGACATTTATTTTTGTTTTAGGGCTTTGACTTAAAAGAGACTAGAACAATCAAATTAGTGAAAAACAAAGCTTGCTTTGATTTTTTATCTTTTAAAAGCTGATTTGAGCAAGTGTATAAAAAAAATAGGACAGAACAGTCAACAGTGTAGATCAGTGTGTAACAGTAAAGAAATGTGTAAGTTTATGAACTGTAAGGGACTTGTCAGAAATTAGCAGGGGGGGAGGGAAGGTGGGAATTTTAAGTTTGGGTTCGGAAATTAGGTGACCCATCCCTGCAATGGGCATGAAATTTTCTAACCCTCCCCTTGAGCTTGGCCTAAAATATCATGACCCTCCCCACCTTACAGAATTGAAAGAAAAATGTTCCAGGCTCTTTAAGGTGCAGTATTCCAAGCTAACAAGAAAAAAAGGAAACAAAAACAAAATAAAAGGAAAGCAAAAAAAGCTAGGGCGAAAAGAATGGAAGTCAACTGCAAAAGAGTTATTGAAACCATTGCACCTCAGTAAGAGTCGCATGATGTTACAGAACCTATTGGTCCATTATCTCATCATTATGAAGGAATAAGTGGGCTCCTCAAAACGCAAAGACCATATATCCAACATGCCTTTGAGAAGGGTTGTTCACCAATGAATCACAGGAAATTATCAAGCAATATCTACGCTTCAACTTAAATGAAAATCATGATGATGATGAAAGTGATTGTATCAATGCTGATGACATAAATGATGATGATCAAGATGCTCACACCAGCGTTGATGGTGATGCTGAAGACAGTGATGAAAAGGATAGCCAAAACTCTAATAACATTAATAACAACATTATTCATAAAAAAATGCAATAAGACTTTATAGCATTGTTGTAAATGAAAAGTAGATGTTTGTTAAATTCTTGCAATAGTACTTCACAGTTTATATCCATAATGTTCCATTGTTCTTTTTTTTCCTTTTTTTTACCAAATAAAGAACTTCCTTTTTCCTCTGTGGATGAACCTCTATATGATCACGGGCATATGTTTGCATGACCCTCCCCCTTTTAACAGCCCATTTTTCAGGACTCCTCCCTTTTCTGAGTCTCAAAAAGTTGTGACCTTCCATCTGTTTGCACCCCCCCTCCCCCCCTGCTAATTTCTGACAAGTCCCTAATTTGATATAGGGTTAGGTATCTGCAGTGTAGCCAAAAAATGAGTGACATCAGTACTTACATAGTTGCACTGTACAGACTAGACCAAACTCATAAGCCCAGAGGAGGTGTTTGCGCTTTTGGATACGAATTCGAAAGTTTAAATCATCTGTTATCTGCATGGCCTATAGAACTGACAACGTGCCTCTGTCCTGTTTCAAAAATTATTTGCGTTTCTCGCTCAACCCTGCAATGTCATTAAATATTCCTGTTTTTATTTTTGCTGATGTCATTTGCAACATGCTTTGACCCAAGGAAAAGGAGGCAAAAGCACTGCATGATTTCGGTGACTCCTTCAATCTCACACAGGTCATAAACAAGCCTAAAAAATAACTCAGTTCTCCAAGTCCATTATTGACGTTATTATTGCTAAAAAAGCAAAGTTGATAAAGGAAACACAAGTTATTCTACACTCAATCAGTGACCAAGAACTGATTTTATTTGCAACTCTTCAACTCAAGAAACCTCGTCCCAAACCTGTATACATCACCACAAGGAGCTTCAAGAATTACATCAAAGACGCTTTCCTCGAGGATATTTCCAATGCTCCCTGGTTCATTCTAGACACTTTTGATAATGTGGAGGATTTTAGATCAACATACGCCTCTGAAAACTGTTAAACAGTCCTAACACACCCAACTCCATTCATCAATGACAATTAATGTATGCGCCCTACTGAAAACAAGAGATCATTGGCAGAACTTAGCAAGGCAAACAAATGATCCTGCTGCCTGGTCTGGCCATTAAAATTGTAAATGAGAAGGAAAGCGAGAGCTACAGATTGCTCAAAGGAATTTCATCCAAGAATGTATATCACAGAATTCAAATGACACTAATGCAATGTGGGAGACAATTTTATTATAAGATTGTGTATCCCAGAGAAATCTGTAAGTGTAAGGGTTTACAGTGATGATGATAAAACTATTGCTGATAGATTTAATCAATTTTTTTACTTCAGTTGGAGAAACAACATATCAAAAAATCAAACAGCTCGCTAATGAGTGAGGTTATGCTCCAGCACAGCAAACCTGCAGCCGAGAATTTCCAAGAGCAGAGCAATTTATTTTTGACAAAAAAGGCAGGCTGTACATTGTTCGGATGTTGAAAAGATTGTATCATCATTGTCTAGAAAGAAAGTGCCAGGTCTTGACAAGATACCAATTCATGTTATCAATATCTCTGTATCTGTTATTATTCCTTCTATTACTGCCGTTATAAATTCTTCTTTTACCACCAGCACCTATTCTGGAGATTGGAAGATTGCTAAAGTGTAACCAATCTTGAAAGAGGGTGATTTTGAAGAACCAGGCAACAATAGCCAATTGCTTTAATGTTGCCTATCTTCCCTAAGTTGTGCGAAAAGGCAGTCCTGAATCAGCTAACACCCTACCTAGAAACAAATAAATGGCTGGCAGTGGAACAGAACAGAAAAAAAAGTGGCACTCCACTGAAACTTCTATTATTGTCTCTATTTTACAGACACTATACTCAAGGTAGTCGACAAGAGAAAGCTAACAGCTATAAAATTTATATGTGGACATGAGCAAAGCATTCAATATCATCAAAGACAGCATTTTTTTGCGAAAACGTAAAGCCGATGGGGCTGGCCCTTTCTGCAGTCTCCTGGTTTAACAGCTACTTGTCCCAAAGATCTCAAGTGGTTGGCATTAATGCTGTGCTGTCTGATGCTCTACCAGCATGATGTGTGGAGACTATCACAAAACAAGCAAAGTTATCATGTCAAAGTTTTTTAAAAACAGGTAGTTTTCAATGTGGTGCAATGGATGTAAAGCGATTTTATGAAAAGCATGTTTTACATATACGGAAATTATACTGATCCTTCACTAAGCGAATTTTAATATCAGGGTTCGCAAATACGCCAAATTTGGCGTATTTTACGCCAAAATTGTTCAGATGACTCCACAGAGGTTACGGAGGGAGTCACTTCGACTTCAGAAATTTTCGGTAACAAACAGGGAGCCACTTCGACTCCAAAAATTTTCTGCAACAAACACAGTTTTGTCCCTACCTTTTTCGCAACAAATGCAATTTACGTTAATTATAAAAGTTGTAAACCTTAATTAAATCATCAAAATTAAAGAATGATACTGCACGACAAAACAGGAAGAGGGTAAATTACGATCAAAGTTTACTCGATGACCGCCATCATGGATTTGAGCTTTCTAGGTCAGTACACAGCTACACCGTGTATCCATCACGATAGTTATTTATGCCAGGACCACGTGCTGTAAAGTCTGAAAATGGCTTTTTTCGTTGTGATACTTGACTCCAAATTTTCCAAAATGACTCCAAAATTTGTGAAGCAGAAGTCACAGTGACTCCACTCATCAATAAAATTTGCAATCCCTGTAATATGCAACAATCTACAGGTCACATAGGTAAAAAATTGTTTGCATGTAAGTCACAGTAAAGCTTTACCATTGATTCTTGAAATTGCTCAACAATTTTGGCCATGATACAAATGTACTTACAGTTTTTAGGCCATCACGCGCTATGAGAATCGCATCCTGCACTACAGAATCGCATAGCATGCAACGAAAATCACGTAGCGTGCAATGCAAGCAATTTGAGCAGCACTGTAGTGTGCTTGGAGCCCTGTTATTCAGTATCTACGTAAATGACCTAGCAGCAGTCAGTGAGATGTGCTCAACTTTGTGTAACGTTAACGACACAACAAAATTCTCTGCTTTGCATGAGAGGAATCTCATGCCTCCAAGGGTAAAATCGATGATTACCTACAGTGAATCCACGATTGGTGCTTTGAGAACTATCTCCTGTTTAACCCAGATAAGAAAAAGCTCATTTGTAAACCACTGAACGTTAAACTTTCATTCCTGGGCAAGGAACTTTTACCTGCGGACTCTGTTATTAAGACTAAGGAGTGATATTTGATCCTATACCCTGACATTTGATTCCCATATCTCAGCTCTTACTGCTTAGCTTCTTGCATTTATAAGCTAGCTCAGATAAATCACACAAAACACGCTTTTAACCCTTTAAGCCCCGATATCCACATACAAATTCTCCAAACTGATCTCCATACATTTCCTTGATGAATGAGTTTAGAGAATTTGATAAAAGATCAAGGCATTTTCCCTTAGGTGATCATTTTACTAATTTTCATAACCTAATCTCCTGACATTGTATGGATATCGTTAGGAGAAATTAAAGGACTTAAAGGGTTAATTCCGACCTTCTAGCGATTTTAATCAACAAGCTCATTTTTAGTAAATATTTTACTGCTTAGTAGTCTGACAGAAATATACATAAATAATTGCAATATGACAGAACTTTGCCACCCAGATAATTAGTGGAGCGAGAAAATTTGGTCATGTTTCTCCAGTTCTCTGAGAATTGTGCTGGTTACCTGTATGTATACATGTAGCAATTATATCTAAGGGACACTGTTTTTGGGTTCTAATGTATGACAGGTTGTGTCAACATCAAATGCAAGCTAGTTACCGGAGGCCATGTCTCTGGCTGTGTAAAAAGTAATTCACAACAATTATATATCCCTTTAGTTAAAACATCTACTGGTAAGCGATCATTCCAGTACAGAGTTGTCAGTTTGTGGAAAAACTTACATGAAGACTGCAAATTATAAGTAATTAAGGCAAAAAAACTAAGGGAGATAATGTTATAGAAACTTCTTGATCCTGCGAGCGTTTTGTAGATTTTGATATTTTATTGTAATATGTCCATTGGTGTTTTTGACAGAAACTTAGATAATTTTTTTCCTCTTTTTCAGTCAGATATATATTTCTTAAAACCTTTATAATACATATTTATACCTTTATCTTGTATGACTGAAAAACCTTGCAATAAACTTCTTATTTCTCACTTCTTGAAGAATAAATTGAGACACCCCTGAAGTTATCTGGTATTACTTTAATACGTGAAATGTTTAGAAGGGGAGTATAAACAGTATTCCTCAAGAAGCCAGTTACAGTTTATTTTGAGGTTTCAAAGGCAACTTTGTAAAAAATTGAGATAATATCGAGCATTAGCTTGATCATAATGTTGCAAAAGATTGACAGCTGTACTAGGAGTTTAAATTACATTATGTTTTCTGATGATTAATTGAAGCTTGGTTTAGTTTCTGAATGGAAGATCGTCAACCCAAGAAGAAAGTAAATACCCTTGGGAAGCAAATAAGAAGAAGTGCATCAAATATCTTCCAAAAATGGAGAAAGGAACCAAAAACATCAGGTAACAATATTGTTGTTATTGTTACTGTAACTATATTATGTAATTCACTGAAAAGTTATTAACGATTTTCAGTTTCAAAAGCCTGAGAAGTCCCCATCCAAATGCAGAGGCACGGCTGGTGTACTCTTCATTTAATTTGTGCCACTCAAGGAAGAAGAGTGGAAAATAGAGAGTGATTGGATCCCTTGTGCACTCATGTTTATTAATTTTAATGCTTCTAAGGACTAAGCTAAATGGAGTGGGAGGTACTGGGGCAAGTACATAATACATGTAATGATGCATGTCTTATTTTTCATCAGTGTGTACGTGTAACACATTAAATGAGTTTGTTAATCCATAATTCACTCTAAGAAAGTTTGCTGAAAAACTTGCTTTGAAGCTAGTCATGCCATTTTCTGGCTGGAACTGCTCAAATCAAGCACCATGCCTGCAGCCTTTAGTCGGGTTCCTTTGCTCATGACAAGCTTTGAAGTGCCAAAAATTGTTATGCAAATTACTGGCTGCACATTCAATGTGCAGGCAGCTACTTTGCAAAGTCATTCAAAGGCAATGGGTCCAAGGGAAAAGTTTTTATGAAAACTTTCAGGATCATAGGATAGAATCAAGTTCAGGTGGAAAGTGGAACAAGATTTTTCTGTTTCTGGTTAATCCTTTGTTTAATATTATTTTTAAGGTGCATCTAATGTTGTGCAAGGTGCAAGCAATGATCATGGTGCTGGGGATAAAGTTTCAGGTTCAGTTGGACGGGTTTCTCAGGATCAAGGTTCAGTACCATCATGATAATATGTTTATTAGGAAATAAAGCTGTAATTAATAATTAATAAGTAAAAAATATCATTTTAGTGGTAACATTAATGCCGGAATGCCCAGGTTTTCGTCTACCACAATTCCAGCATGAGATCATAAAATTCACAATACAAAATGTTAGTTGCTCAATGCTGTATTGATGAAGAGAGGCAAAAACCAGAGTACCTTCACAAAACCTGTTGGAACAAAAAAGTGAACCAGTAACAAGTTGGTTTTCTTGGCCACTGCACCACCCTTGTGCTCAAAATATAATAGCAAAACAGTGATGTTATTTTCCATTCAGCACTTCACTTGTGGTGGTAAGCATGTTAATGTTAAAACTGTTCCTTGGCCAATAAATTAGTTTATGCAGCTTTGGGCTGAAATGTGTATTTAAGATATATAAATAGTTGTATCTACATGTTGGAATGCTGGCTGATATCTTGTCTCATTTTTCAGGTGCATCTGATGCTTTGCAAGGTAATGATCCTAGTGCAGGGGGTGAAGTTCCAAACTCAAGCAATCAAGTTCATTATGACCAAGGTACTGTACAGAAGTGTTATGTGTTACTGAAAATATAAGATGAAAAATTGGTTAATGTGTTTTTGTAATTTAGCATTTCCTTCAGGTACAGTTATCATGTGACACTAATCTATAAACTTAAAAACATAAGTGGTGTAATCTCAATTGTTGCATGTTTCTGATTGATATTTTCTTCATTCTCAAGGTGCATCAGCTAGTGCTGTGTACAAGGCAAGTAAAAATCTTGGTGCTATAGGGACGGAAGCTTCAGATTCAGGCAAAGTAATTCCCCATGATAAAGGTACAACAACAATATCTTTATTTAGTAATATTTAACTTAATAAGTAGGACAAATATATATAATTAAATAGTATTGCTATAATGTTATGTAGCTACTTTGCATTTTGTGAACATATAGTATTTAATGAACGAATTAAGTAGATAAATGTGTATATTATATATGCCTGCTTTCCATAACAGCCATGCCTGTAACTAAACAAAAACTTAACTATTAGATTAAAATTGGCTGCCCACTTTAAAGCTGCACAGTATCTGCCTGCTGCAACTCAATTGGGAGGCTGTTTCACACCACCGCATCCCTACAGCCAAAGCTATTTTTTTAGGTAGTTTATGAGGAGCTGAGGAATAGCCAGTTTGCTGTCAGTGTCTCATAGCGAACAGAAGGTGACACTATCATGGTTGGTAAACAAGTTGCTTAAGTATTCTGGGGCAATACTGTTTATTGATTTGTATACCATACCTGCTGTGTGATATTTACATTCAATGTCAAGCTTTTGCCAGCCAAGCCTCTCAATCAAATAATCAGCATCAATGTCATAGCCTGAAAACGTTATGATTCTAGCTGTGCGATTTTGTAGCTTCTGTGGCCTGGTTGCCAGGGTTTTACCATAGCTGTCCCAGGCAATGCTACAATAATCGAAGTGGAGTTGAACTAGAGAATTTAAAATTTCAAAGCCCCAATACCAGACACAATCTTTTTGGCTAATTCCTTGATGTGTACATTCCAAGATAAGTTATGATCAATGTGCACACCAAGGATTTTTATCTGAGTAACCTGTTTTACAGGAGTATCATTAGTTACCGTGTGTGGGATTGATTGAAACGTGCTTAACCTTAGTTTGTCGTGATCTGATTAGCATAAACTCAGTTTTTGACTGATTCAAAGTGAGTTTATTAACTATAAAGCCATTGATTAATGCTATAAAGGTCTTCATTTAGATAATTATTGATATTCGTCAAGTTGTCTCTTGCAAATGTCAAATGCACATCATCTGCATAACATACAGGGTTGTGAGTGTGAAAGACAATTTGGAAGGTCAATATTGATATAAAATAGAAACATTAAGGGCCCCAAAGATAGTCCTCTGGGGAATCCCACGCAAAAGCAAATGGTCTTTTGAGAGATGCCCATTGGCAGAGCATTTTTGATTGCATCCATTTAAGTATGACACCTAAACCAATTACTCCCAGACCCCCCAAAACCATATGCATTGAGTTTTGATAGCATGATCTCGTGATCAACCGTATCAATGGCTTTCTTTAAAACTAGAAAAACTACTGCATTATTCTTGCCGTGGTCAATATTGTATGTCCAGTTATTGGTGGCCTCAAGGAGACTGTAATTGTAGACTTGGTTATGTGCTATTCTTTTGAATACTTTAGCTGTCACTGGGATTATTGAAATGAGGCGAAAATTGTTCACGTCTCTAAGTTCACCTTGTTTTAACGTTCATCAGGATAAATGCCTGTATTGTTTGAGCAGTTGAAGATCACACACAAATATTCCGATATCAAATTGGGACAAATACAGAAAAGTCTAGCAGAGATTTTGTCTAAGCCTGTTGCTTTAGATTTACAAAGCTTTTACACGTAAGAAAATACTATGTTCAGAGTTGTACAGTGTAGTTTTATCACTGTATCAGAAAGGGGAAAATGAACAAACAGCGACATATTCAAACATTTTTTGCAACTACATGTTGAGAATATTAATTTACAGCTATCCACTTTCAGTGTTTATTTATACTGATAAAATTTAATGTTGAATGGTAATCACTTATTGGTATTGTCTCATAAAATAAATTTGATAAGTTAAAATAAATACCAATAGGTAACAAATTTTAATTTAAAAAGTGGTTCTCCATCTATCATTTCTGTACTTGAGCTTTTTCACTTTGTATTCTAGTTCGTTATGGAGAACTGATATCATCGTTCTTTCTATATTAAATAAGCCCCCCTTACTCCAATAAGCCCCCCCCCCCCCCCAACGGCTCAGAAATAAAAAAACCACCAAGAGCGCTAGATAGAGAAATAACAGGAAAACTAATTTTTTATTTTTACTTTTGGGGGGGAGGAGGTTGGAAATAAACAACGTAAACGATAAAAAACATAACAAAAAAAGACTATGCTAAAAAAAAAAAGAAAAAAGACTCAAAAAAAAAAGAAACCTTAAATGGTCTTGAAATAAATAAGCCCCCAGGAGGGCTTAATAGAGGATTTACGGTAAACTTAGTTTTTTATTTTCACATGTGGGTGGGAGGAGCATCAGAATATACAGCATTCACAGTACATACTATAACAAGGCTGTGCTCTGAGAAAAAAATAATTGCAGATAGCTCAAAAGCTTTAGCATTTAAAAAAGATTCCCCAACCAGCACATGTCACAGCCCTGGATAAAAACATCTTGTACTAAAATGCCTTACAGAACTAAACAAATTTGACTGGCATTATCATCTACATTCCACGTAGGTACTTTATGTGTAAATTAATATTGATATATATTCCTATGTCTTTTGTACCTTCGTCTTATCCAGACCCTTTGTACCAAACGCTTGAGGACAATATTACGAAGACAGATGAAAAGGTGAAACAATTTGGTCAAGAACTGAAAACTTTGAAAAAAGATGCTAAATCAGGTGAGCTGAACAAAGATCATTCATTCTAGGTTCCGAATAATTGATCTGAGTTAATGTTTCCTACTTTTACATTTTGGTCGGATCTCCCTGAAATTTTTGTGGGGTTTTTGTTATTTTAAGTTGTATCTCTACTTTCATTGACCTTTAAATTGATTACACTACGTAGTTCATAATCGCTGTGTTCAACGGATGTGAGCTACGTGCGGAACGTATCATCATAAGAACAATTCGTGTTAATACGTGTTACTTTAAAATCCCTGCTTTTCAGCTGACTTCAGTGAACAAGAAGCAAGCAGATATAATGATACTGGTGAAAGATCAGGGGCAAGTAAGGAAGGTACGTGTATTTTCAACATTGAACGAAAAAAAAAACACCAAAGCTGTATATTCCAATGGTTAACAGACAACAATGATTTACGCACTGCGGCATACATTTTACTTTTTGAACTCAGTTTTGGAGCACATACTTACGTAGTACTTTTGTTTACGTAATTTATGTAATTGCGAAATAACAAGGAACAACAAGGGGATGGGTGGTTTAAAATATATAATGCACCATTTTGTGAAACCACTAGTGAGAATCTCTTCACTAGACTATATTTTGGGGAGGGAACTCAGTTTTGGCAAAATTAAAAGGAAAAAAAGTGTGGTTCGAGAAACAGGAATTTCACTGTGTCTAACAGATGCTGAACCCGGAGTTTCATGTCCAAAAAATTTGGAAATTGGTTTTGTTTCCTTTGCGGACCCCTTTGCCTCGGTATTTTGTTTCAACAGAATTTTCATAACACGAAACATATGACAAAGTTTGACATAAACTTCACAAGGATAGTTTTTAGCACAGACGAAACTAAACCTCTGAAGTCCGTCTGCAAGCCAGCGCCAAAATCCTTATTCTGGGCCCCCACCCAAAAGTACCCGCCAGGATTGGCCTGTCAAAAAAAGCTATTGTACGATAGGCCAATCAGGTTGAAGAGAAATTCGCAACGCACTTCCGGTAATTCGTTGAGTCTGTAGGTGCCCAGAACAAGGATATCGGCGCTGTTTGGCGGACGTTACTTACTGACGTTAGATAACGTGTGCTACGCAGGCTAATCCTTCCTAAACCCTCAAAAAATTGAAGAAAGGATGTAAAACGTTTTTTTTGATCCTCTTAATTTCGTATGTATCAACTCACTAATGTTTTTCTGTCCAATACCAGAAGTTAGTCATGTGAAAACTTCTGACCTGAAAGCCTGTCGCAATAAGCTTGCTGATTACTACAAGCGCACAGCCACGGTACCCACCTCTGTTTGGTCTTCGATTTGTCAGGTGAAACTTGAGAAGATATATACTCGACTGTCATGGGTGAAAAAAGAACAAACTCCAACTGGGACATCACCGGCTGAACTAACAGACTACAGTGAACTATTCACAGCAGATGAGAACGGTGTTTTGCCTAAGAGAATACTCGTGCAAGGAGAAACGGGAATTGGAAAGAGCACATTTGTTAAGACGCTAGCGTTGCATTGGGCTAAACTCGTTGACGATAAGGATGTTGTAAACGAAGTAATGGCTTCTTCAAGTAAGTGCGGAGGGGTTAAGGAGCCATCACGTGAAGATCACATGGGCGTCAGCCAGGCCGAGAGCAGCGAAACAAGAAAACATGATGACAGCAGTGAGAGTCATATTGATGCCCTGAAGAAGTTCCAGCTTGTTATTGCTGTTCCTTTGAAATATGTGTCTAAATGCCAAACATTCAGAGAAGTTTTAAGCTGTTCTCGTCTAATTCCCAAGGACGAGGAATATTTAACGGATGGTATCTTTACGTACATTTGTAACAACCAAGAGAAAGTTTTACTGGTGTTTGATGGATACGACGAGTATCGCACTGGAAGTGTAGCAGAAACCCAGTTTGGACCAAGAAGCACCTCTCCTATTTGTGAAATTTTTCACCGGAATGAGCTCAGAGACTGTACTTTGTTAGTAACCACGAGATCTTCAAGAGCCGGTGAACTGCTAGAATTCTGTCCCGACAAACACGCTGAGATCACCGGATTTGGCATTACAGACCAACTGGATTTCATGGAGAGGGTGCTAGATAGCAGCAGCCAAGCCATCGAACTAAGTATTTGCCTATTTGAAAAGAAAGTGAAAGACCTTGCAAGAGTGCCACTTCTAAATCTTTTTTTCTGCTTGTTGTTCAGGCAAGAAAAGGAGAACCTGATTAAAGTTGACAATAGGAAAACTCCATTATATCGAGCTATCATTCGATGCATCCTGCACCACAGCAAGAGGAGACTTTCGCCTGCTGAAGTAAAAGGGGAAGATTACCGAGAGATTCTTGCTGAAATAGGAAAAGTTGCGTTGGAAAGTCTTCTGAAGGGCAGTCAGGTGTTTGAATGTCATCAGCTGTCTGAGAAAGTACGTGGTGAAAAAAGTGTTATGGTGGGCCTCTTACAATTAACTGAGAACGGAGCAAGTCCGGAGCCAACGGAGATCGTGTCCTTTATACACAAATCAATTCAAGAGTATTTAGCAGCCTGGTTTATAGCGAACATATGTGTTCCCGAGGGTAATCTTGGTGGAATTGAAAAGCATGCCGCCACTTTGGAGGATTGTGAGTCAACTGCAAATGTTTTGCACTTCGTGTGCGGTTTGTCCAAAGATGGAGCGGTAAAAGTGCTAACGCATTTATCTACTGTTCGCGCCAATGACTCCTCACTAGAGTTTTCAAAGTTAATGCCAGTTGATGAAACCGAAACAAACCTGCCCTGGGCTGGCTTTACCATGCGGCATATCCAGTTTAATGACTTGGTCCTAGATTGCCTTCAAGAAGTTTCAGTCTTGACTCCCGATCTTATAGAGCATGTCTTTGGTTGCACCGGGGGAATCATCTTCCAAGAGACGCCAGTTGGTCGCGGTCTAGTGCCTAAGCCGGAAGTTTTAACTCAGCAAGCAACACATTCTTGGGCTTTCTATTTTATTAACCGTTTTCCCGAGAGACGGCGATTGTTTTGGCCATTAATCACCGCCAACCCAGTAAAGAACCTCTATCAATCAGTTCAATTTCTGGATCTCTTGGATATCCCCCTTAGAATGGTTAGGAATTCGAAAGAGCTAAAACTAGGAGACTTTTTAACAAAGTTTCGCCTTTGTTCTTGTAGGCGTTGCACTTTCGCTTCCGTGCTTTGTTGCACTGATGGCAAAATGATGGTGTACATCACAGACTTGAAGCTTTTATGTGATACACATACCGGGATGTTTACTGAAGCTGCGGCTGTAGTTTGTGATCAATCTGTTTCTGCAAAAATGTGTTCAAGCCAACCATGTTTAAAATTCTTAACATCCTTAAGCTGCATTTTCCATGGAAACCGAGAATTGTTGAAAGAACTTGTTGTCATGGTTAGAAACTGTAAACATTTGCAAGGAATTAAGTATGACGTAGACGGTGACTACGTAGTTGAGGACTTGCTTTGCCCCATTTCATCTGAAACAGCAATGGCAATCGTAAGCAGTATCTCGCCTGAGAGTTTGGGAGAAGTTTCACTTAAACATATCAACCTCACCACCTCCGCAGCTGCGACTCTCGGTAAATCACTTTCTAAAATGACTTTCTTACGAAGGCTTCAGTTAACAGGGCCGTATTATATCGGTTCCCGTGACTGTTTTCTGAAATTGAATACTCTTTTTGAAGGATTTAACCATGTACGGCATCTAGAAGAACTTCGGTTATCACGTTTTTGTGTCGTTGATTCCTTTGCTCCACTAACCGAGAAATTTTGCTTCTTTCCTAATTTAAAAAAGTTAGTGCTTAAAGACGTAAACTTGGATGGAGATGGTTTGTGTCTTCTACTGGAAGGTTCTCGATTCATTCCAAATCTGCAACACCTGAATCTGTCGTTCAATCCACTTGGTCGTGCGGTAAGAGCTATCGCTTCCTACCTTGACAAACTTCCTGAACTTAGGGAGCTTCTGATTTATGATAGGTCAGTGGATGGCTCAGAAGACTTGAAGTACGTTCGGAAAGCTGCCAAAGAATTACGTCCTGAGATTTCAGTACTAGGGGAACTCATTCCTGTAGACTAGGGAAACTCCAACGTTTCCTGCTGTCTCCGCTAGTCGATGATCGTCGAATTCGGCTTCCTCGAAGCATGTTAGTTTTCCTTCTCTACTAAACCACTATTGTAATGTTTTCTTTTAATTTGTAATTGTTTACGTCGCAAAAAAGGAAATTGCAATGTCGTGACAGCTCCTTTAAATAATCCCTCGGTTACTGAAACGCCAAGAAAACAGTAGGTCAGTTAAAATCGAAAGTGCATTTGACATCCTTAAGTATTTTCTCTCTTTCTACTGAAATAATTGTTAAGTTGACTGTTTTGATCCCCAGGCAGTTTTACTGATGATGATTAAGGTGCAATACGAAACAGTCAGTTTATCTTTCCACAGCCTGTTCCAAGCGCTCAGATAGTGGAGAATGGTGACAAACAAAAGCGGAAGAGAGGAAGATGGAGAGAGAAGCCCTGCCCTTCCTCCTCCTTGTTTTTGTCAGTGCGCCATCTCCACTATGTGAGCGCATGTGACAGGTTAATCTTCATGGGATGATAGGTTATTTCTTTAAAAGAACCTTTTGATGTGCCGATTAACTTGCCGAGCATTACAAATGAAAAATAACGATTTTGTACTCATTTTTCCTGCCTGTTATCACTTTTTTTATTGTGTCTTAAGATTACGAGTGGTCACTCTCCTGTGAACTGTGAGCGAAATACGCGAAGCATGCGAAAGGAGAGGCGAAACGCGTGTCACCTTATGTAATAAAGATTAAAATCCCTGCGCAGCGTAGTTACTTAATGTTAATTTGAAAAACGACACTTTTCAAAAGAGTCTTAACCGACGTTTCGGCAATGCCGCCTTCTTCAGGGTACAAGAATAAATACCGTTAAGACTCTTTTGAATAGCGTCGATTTTACAATTTTCAAATTAACGCGTGCCACCTTCCTTACGGCTTGCGAATTTCACATGTGCTCGCTCTACTATTTCTGGGGAAATGAGGGACCGCCTGTAGTTTAGTGTCCCTTCAGACTCGTGCAGTGAATGGTTAACTGACGTAGGGGCTGATTACAGGAGCAGTTTTCCGAGAGCTCAGCAAGTTGCAAAAAAAATGAACTTTGTTATTACGTGACATCCGAGACAGCTCGGTTGGCCCAGATCCCAGTACTGTGGTGTCGCTATAGCGGCTGATCGTGCTGGAAAATTCCATCTAATCAGACCCACCTGTTTGCACCAGCAACAGGAAAACAACGAGGCTTAACAACTAAACAGCGAATAACTTAGCTAAGATGTAGTTTTTATTTCGTCTGACTCTCTTGCGTCATACTTTGCATAAAAAATGCCATAGTGGTAAGCCAGTTTTACTTAATGAAGGACCTAGAGGGGCCGTGTAACACACTGCTCATGCGCGGTGCTTCCAATCACTATAAACCAATAAAAACCTAACAGCTACGGACTGGCTCGTTTCATGTACCGGGATGAAAATCCCCTTCACAGATTGGGCCAGACGAGGTGACTGTAGACTTTATTGGTGTGATGTTGATCTCGTCTAAACCTTTTTTTTTCCACTGAAGATTTATCAGCGTGAAAATTTAAGCGTCATCCCGTAGGCTAGGCTTCATGAGGTCGATATCTTTTTAGACGGTTTACTTGACTCCTTGCTTAAAAAATATTCTGGAACACTGCCCTGGTAAGAGCTAAAAGTACCTGACTTTCTTTTGCTCATAAGCGTCCAGAAATCCGGGGAAATTGAATAAAATTGGGTCATTCAGCTCTGACTTTTAAAGGTTTTTAGATTGTTTTCAACGCATATAGTCCCTCGTTGACTTTCTGCGTCGTGTCGTGGAGTATCTTGTGCATGAAATTCTTTGAGGACACTATGAGATCTGTAAGTACATATTGATTAATATATAGATACAAGAGTACAATTTTCGTTCTCCTGAAAAATGTTCTATTTATCCAACGAAATTTTTGCGCGCCTTTCTGAACATACATGAGTTACACCACAGCAGACAACAGTCAACTTTTATTATCTAGATTTCCTTTTTATCAAACTTGGCACAACACAGGAGAGGATACTGACCGTTTTCCTAAACGAGCGTCAAAGGCGTAAGCTTCTAGGGGGCTCAGGGGGCATGCACCCCCGTAAAATTTTCAGTTCTACTCCCAGACTCGTTCCCACTCGCTATTTATGTGTTTCTGGGGTGAGAGAAGACTGGGGGTTATTTTGAGGCGCGCGGGGTCTTATGGGAAGGTCGAAGGAAAACACCCCCAAAGACACAGGCGAAGACGCGAAGCTGCGAGGTGGTAGCTTAATAGAGCCGTGCGCAATTGTTCCAGGGGCAGAAAAAATCTCGAATAGATAATCACTGACAGACGGCTATGACACTGATGAGCCCCAATAAGGGCAAAACAGCTGTCTATGGCTGCCACTGCCCGCGTAATGTGGCTGTGCGCATGCGTGAGGTACTTGCCAGCCCGGGTGTTGCTGTATGTGTGCCCATTGCTTTAGTTTACTGGTAACTCGTGATCCACCTTCCCCGCGCATGTCGTGGTAGAACTGCTGTGCAGTTCCCAGCCAATAACTCCCAAATGTGTTGTGTGTAGCTGGCGCTTGATAGACTGCTTTGCATTCACCTCGGCAGTAAAGGGTTTTAGAGAAGCGTTCATTGATTAACCCTACGGCTTTGCCATGCTCGTCACGCCCAATAAGGGCGAAACAGCTGTCTGTGGCTGCTACTTCCCACGTGATACGGCTGTGTGCATGCGTGAGGTACTGGTCCGGCCGTGGGTTGGTGTACGTGTGCCCCTTGCGTAAAGTTTGCACTATTTTCAAGGTAGTTTTCGCTAATGCAAGTTCAATCTATTGTCATCAATTACCGTATTTCATGACATTTCTGAACAAATTGAACAGCGCGCGCGAATAGGTAAAATCTTTGCTCGTTGGCAGTTAGCGATAGTTATAACTAGTAGTATTTTAAAAAAAGGCCTATTGACAGCCATATATTGGAGATTTAAAAAGCTCTAATAAAAAGATAGGGTCACCATGCTTGTTTTTGCCCTGCGTCCCCGTAATTCTAAGTGTATTTTCCCAGTTACGTGAGAAATGTTCAAAACTTGAACGACCGTCATAAATTCTTATTGTATAGCAAAAACTATTAATTTTGCTAAAACTTAGGGCTCAATTAATAGCATTGTCTGGGCAATACTTTTTCAGGTATGAAGTGACTTCAAATTGCCCGATCTTAAAAAAATTAAAGAAAATTGGACAGTTTTAACATTATCGCATAACACTTTGTAAGATGATTTGACAAGATGATTTATTGAACTCAGCTCAGTTTTACATGACATAAAAGTTAAATTTACATAAGCATCTAAACACAGTACAACTAAGAAATACAAGAAAAATGGTAACAACAAAATGGAGAGCGAGTTGAGATCATCCAAATAGAAAAGGATAATCTAGTGGATGACCCCTACATCAAAATACAATTACACACAGAATACAGAATATATACATGTGTCTTTGAATTTCTACCAAAAGGATATAAATTATGCATGAACATTAACTGAAGGCTGGACTTAATGCAGACAAATTTGCTCTTTTTGGACGCCTCCGAAAAGTTTTGGCTAAGTTTTTGCTCTGGGATTTCCTATTGTCTCGAGTTTAGCACAACATCAATTCCCATGCAGCACGCGGGAATTTACCCCGCTTGGTTGCCCTCAGAATGCTCTAGAAAGGGAGAAAATAATATCGAGTACAGATTACGGAGAGCAACCAAGTGCGGTTGTTACCTTTCTTTAATTAGGCGACCCGTAAAAAATCCCCGTCACCTTTAATTTGATGTCGTAATGTTATGTGCAGGAGGTGATGCGCAGGGATGTCGGTAAAACGCAGGGTCGGGTTCGGGGCCGGGGTGGGGTTTTTAAAGGATGCTTTTTTAGGGTTAGGTTTAGAATAAGAGTTAGGATAAGGGTTAACCCTAACCCTAAAACAGCATTCTTTGTAAAAAAAAAAAAAGACCATCAAAAAGATAGACCCTGGCCTCGGCACAGACCCCGCCTTTTACTGGCACCCGATGCTTCGTGATCATGAAAGTCCACGCCACCTTGTGTGGTCTTATTTTAACTCTTAAACACTCTCGTCCGCCCTGCTCTCATAAGACTTTGTACGCCATCATCAACTATTATAACTCTCGTTTGATCTCGGCTCTATTTTCGTTTCCCTTTGTAAATAAGCACGTAACAGAGAATGTATTAGAACTGCTAAAATTGATCTCAGCTTACATCTTTTTAAGTTTAGCCTGTTCCAGGCTCTCAGATAGTAGGGAAGACGCGAAAGAAAAAGGCACGCGAAAAGTTAGCGGGGCGGGAAAAAGTTTCCTTCCGTTTTATTTTCGTGTTTGCGCTTTCTCACTTCAGCCGACCCGACTTACTTGGAGCCTGGAACAGGCTATATTTTAAGCTGTACAACATTGTATAGCGCGTTGTATTTGACTCTTGTTCGCTTATATGTGTGTGCAAATAAGTTTGGTTCAATGGGTTTAGTTATGTGTAAAATGTTAGCGACATTTAGAAAACGATGTCGTATCAAATAAACGAAAGCAGTTATGGTCTATAATGTAAGAGAGAATACCTCATTCTCTCTTGGTGGAACTGATCGCTATATTGATTTGGCAGAATAAAGTTTAATTAAGTTATGTTAGGATAATCAACACTGGATTGTTGTTGAGCTTTATGTAACTAATATTGGCCTACTAGGGGAATAAATCACATAACCACGAGCTGAGGGCCCATGCTAAATATACATGGTATTACCTTACCTAGGCTAAATTGTCGTCCTTTTGCCTGAAAAATGGTATTTTGAGCGATTTTGATGGTTTTTGTGTTCGCTTTTTTCTGTCTTTACTGTTCCTCTTACATATTTAGCGATATACCGCTACAAATGAAGCAAACTGCATCTGTTACACAGACAGATTGTTTGGTTTCCCTGTGGTATCCTGTGAAATNGGTCTATAATGTAAGAGAGAATACCTCAT